TCTTACTTCCATGTATTTGTGAATTTTCTCTTTCCTACTATTATCAATTTCTAATGTCATACTAGGGACGCCTGAGTGGCTCAGCGGTTAAGCGTCTGCCTTTGGCTGTCTTCGCCTCCCTGCATGGAACCTGCTTCTCCTCCCTCTACCTATGTCTCTGCCTCTCTATATCTCTCTCATGAATAAATAAATAAAATCTTTAAAAAAACATAATTTAATGTCATGCTATTGTGGTCAAAAAAGATACTTGATAATGATTTCAGTCTTCTTAAATTTGTTGAATTGTTTTGTGACCTAACATAGGATCTATCCTAGAAAATGTTCTGTATACATTTGAGGAGACTGTGTATTCTCCTACTGTTGGAGAGAAGCTCTGTAAATATATTTGTTAGGTCCATTTGGTCTAAAGTGTAGTTCAAGTCCAATATTATCTTACTGATTTTCTATCTGGATGATCCATCCATTGTTGGAATTGGGCATTGAAGTCCCCTACTATTTCGTATTGCTTTCTATTTCTCCTCTCTGATCTATTAATATTTGCTTAATTTATTTAGGTGTTTCAGTGTTGGGTACATATACATTTACAGTTGTTCTATCTTGTTGATGAACTGACCCCTTTATCATTATATAATGACCTTCATTGTCTCCTTTTACAGTTTTCTTTCTTTTTGTTTTAAAGATTTTATTTATTCATGAGAGACACAGAGACAGAGACAGAGACAGAGACACAGGCTCCATGTAGGGAGCCTGATGTAGGACTTGATCCTGGGACCCTAGGATCACACCCTGGGCCAAAGGCAGGCGCTAAACCACTGAGCCACCCAGAGATCCCTACAGTGTTCAACTTAGTCTGTTTCACCCAAAATATAGAGATCTAGATTTAGATCTATATCATATATTGGTGTATGTGTATGTGTGTGTGTGTGTGTGATATATATATGTATGTATGTGTATATATATGACATATGTGATATATGTGATATATAGAGCTACCCCTGCTTTCTTTTTGTTTCCATTTGAATGGAATATCTTTTTACAGCCCTTCACTTTTACTTTAATGTGTCCTTAAAGCTAAAATGAGTTTCTTGTAGGCAGCATATAATTGTCTTGGTTTTTTTTTATTCATTTAGTCATTCTCTGTCTTTTGGTTGGAGAATTAAATCAATTTATATTTCAGATATTTATTGATAGATAAGGATTTGTTTTGCCACCTAGTTGTTTGCTGTTTCATAGCTTCTTCCTTCCTTTCATGCTGTCTTCCTTTCCTATAGTGATATGCTTTGTTTCCTTTCTCTTAATCTTTTGTGTATTTACTGTAGTTTTTTGCTTTGTGGTTCTGTTAGGCTTGCATAATACAACTTATAGTTACAGCAATCTATTTTAAGTGGATGAAAGCTTAACTTCAAACACATATGAAAATACCGCCTTTTCACTTTCTCCTTCCCTTGCTATGCTTTTGATGTCACAGTTTAGATCTTTTATATTGCTATCCATTTAAAAAATATTGTGGCTACACTTATTTTTAAATACTTTTGGGTTTTTTTTTTACCTTTTTGTTATAGTTCAGTGATTTACATACCACTCTTATGACATTAGAGTATTCCTAATTTGACTGTATAGGTAACTTTATGGTGAGTTTTATACTTTCGTATGTATTTAGGTTACTGATTAACATCCTTTCATTTTAGCATAACTAACTCCCTTTAGCATTTCTTGTAAGGCAGGTCTAGTGGTAATGAATTCCCTCAGGTTTTGTTTGAGAAAGTTATCTTTTACTTCATTTGAAGGACAGCTTTGCTGGGCGAATTATTCTTAATTGGCAGATTTTTAAAATTTGAGCATTTTGAATATATCATCCCATCCTCTCTTTATTTTTTTTAAGATTTTATTTATTCATAAGAGACACAGAGAGAGAGGCAGAGACACAGGCAGAGGGAGAAGCAGGCTCCCCACAGGGAGCCCAATATGGGACTTGATCCCGGGTCCCCAGGATCAGACCCTGAGCCAAAGGCAGATGCTCAACCACGGAGCCTACCCAGGTGCCCCCATCCCATCCTCTCTTGACCTGCAAGGTTTCTGCTGATAAATCTTCTAATAGCCTTATGGGGGTTCACTTATATGAGATAATTTGCTATTTTGGCAGTTCATTCGTCTTTGGTTTTGACACTTCCATTACAATGTGTCCAGTGAATTTGGGGGGATTAAATTTGTATTGGGATCTATGAGCCTCATGTACTTGGATACTCATATCTGTCTCAAGATTTGGCAAGTTTTCAGCTGATCTTTAAAGAAGATTTCTGCCCTTTTCCCCTCTCTTCTCCTCCTTCGACTGCCATGATATAAATATTATTTTTCCTGATGGTGTTCCATAATTCACATAAGCTTTCTTTACTTGTTTTCATTCTTTTTTTCCTTTTCTCACTGTATAATTTCAAATTATCAGTCTTCAAGTTCCCAGATTCTTTCATCTGCTTAACCAGGTCTGTTGTTGATCTGTATATTGTATTTTTCATTCCATTCATTGTATTCTTTACCTCTAGAATTTGCTTCTTTTTTATAACTTCTAGCTCACTGTTAAACTTGTTTTGTTCATGGATTATTTTTCTGATTTTATTGTGTTGTCTACATTCTCTGTAGTTCACTGATCTTTCTTAAAACAATTATTTTGGATTCTTTGGCAATTCACAGATCTCCATTTCTGTGGGGCCAGTTACTGGAAACTGTTGTGTAATGCTACCTTGATTTTTTCATGTTTCTTATAAATCTTCATTGATATCTTCACATTTGATGGAATAATCACCTCTTTCAGACTTTAGAGACTTAGCATCCATGAAGATTGCAGGGGCCTCAATAACCAAGGCTATGGATGGCTGTAACAGTGGTCATCTGTTGGAATCCACAGTGGTGAAGCTGCAGGGGATCACTTGATTCATGTCATGGTCAAGGGGATCCTCCTTGGCATTGGGTTCATCTTGTGGATGCCCTTGTGGTGATGCTGGTGACCCTCGTGTTTGATACATGGGTACCCGTGGAACAGCTATGGGGATTGGAACTCATGTGCTTGCAGAGCAGTGGCAGCTCTGGGGTCCAGCAGCTCTGGCTAGCACACAATAGCAGTGGATCTGGTTCCTGAGAAATGAGAATACATGGAGCAGCCACAGATTCAGGGACTGTAGCCCAGATACTTATGGAGCAGCAGTGGCTTCAGAGTGGGGCACTGTCTAGCCCGCAGTGGTGACAGTTTGTAGGACGTGGGTGTGCATCACGTGGCCACCAAACTGGAGACTTGAGTGCAGGTATTCATAAAGCAACAGTGGGTTTGGGTCTGGCTAGCCTGCAGCAGCACTGGTTTCACACCTAAGGCGTCCACCAAGGTCTGAAATGCTGGTATACACAGAGCAGCCACATCCCTTATGTGACATGCACAGGGCTTATGCATGGGGTTGTCAGGGGCCTGGCAGCCCTGGTTCCAGAGTGGTGCAACAGCAGCTCCTCCTGGGGAGTAGTGCCACAGTAGTGCCAAGGGTTTCTGGATGCTTTCTCATTTGAAAAGTACCTTTACTTTGCCCTCACATTAAGTTGTTAGTTTGGTTAATAGATATTTCTGAGATTTTTTTTTCAGCATTTTTTAGATAAGTACTGTTTTCTTGCATTGAGCATTATAGATGAGAAATTTTATATCAAGTTTTGCTCTCTGGAAATTTATGGAGTTTTGAGATATTCATGTATATATGTATGCATGAATGTGTGTATTTTATATATTTATTAATTCATGGGACATTTTAATCTGAACATTCACATCTTCCTTTACCTCAGAGAATTATTGGTTCTCTTAATCTTTTGCTTTAGCCTCTCTTTTTTTGAGCATCTATTATTGCTCTTTATCAGTTTATCTATTTCAGTTTTATGTTTGCAGATCTGGTTGTATATTCACATTTTAAATTAGCTACTAGATTTGTTTGCATCAGCAATTATTGTAAGAGCATGTCCTCCTTTGCACACAGCAGCTCACTGTAGGATTCTGTTGTGACCAGCAGATTTTAGGACAGGTGGGAAGCCCTCCGTCCCCCTTCCTTCCTCCACTGCACAAATCAGGGCCAAGCTGCAATGGAGGCAGAGTAATTTGGTGATCTCTCTGCTTTCCTGACAGGCCTTCCCCTCACCACCTTTAAAAAAAAATACTCTGGATCGGTATGTGCCCTCGAATTTCCTTACTTCTTAGTATCTTACTTGAACTGTGTTACTTTTCTCTCCAACTCCAAAATCCATTAGAAGAAGGGGTCTGTATATAAAACTGAAGTCTTCAATCTTCTTGATGGAATAATGAAATAGGCAGTCCGTACCTCTTGTATATCTAACACACAGTCTAAAAGGAAAAGAACAACATCTGCACTATTTGTGCTGTGTTTACTGCACTGCGCCTAGAGCTCAGTAGGATTTTTAGACATAAACTTTTGTAGAACTAAAAATATTTATAGGTTTTATCCAGTAACTTTTCCTCTAGAAATTTATCTAGAAACACTAAAGAAACACTGAAGGATGCTCAGAGTTTTATGTACAAGGATAGTCATGGTACTTATAGTTGTAAAAAATGAAAGCAACTCAGAAGTCCAGCAGTACTTATCTAAAGGAGTGTATATACTGTATATGGTTGAATATTTAATAGAAATTCTTTTTCTTTAAAGCCTTCTAGAGGTACAATCTCTGGCAATTGGTAAAAACTATTTTATCTTTTTTTAATTTTATCTTTAAGATATCTATATATCTATGTATCTATATCTAATCTATCTACACCTTAATAAGTATATACCTTAAATAGGATGACTATAAATCATGCCTTTCAAATTGCTATGATTTTTAGTGATATTATCTAATATTTTTTATGTTACTGGGTAGTTTAGAGAGAATCAAATTCTTTAAGCCTACGGACAAATAAATGAAATTTGTATTTATGTAATCATAATGGGCATTCAGTAAATAGAGAATGTTTTTTATTCCAGAAAACAGCTCCTTGAACATGGTGAGGTAAAGCTTTCATTTTAATCTCTGTTATACTTGTGTATTAAATTCTAGTTCAAGGATAATTCACAAAAGTATTGCCTTGCTGCTGTACTGTCAGCAGCGCTTCAGTGTTTCAGCATTGCTAATAAATGCTGGTCCTTCCCATGTTTTCATCTGCTTTTTTGAACAGTAGTAAGGATTTGAAAACCATTGAAGGCTCATCTCTAACCACAGAGCATAATTAAATTACCTTCATTTATTCATTCATTCATTCATTCATTCTTTTATTCATTCAACAATAGCAGCATTAGTTCCCAGCCCACTGAGCCCATCAGCTACAGCCCATCAGGGCAGACACCCATGGCCCTGGGACTGGTGGCCTTGTGCCACAGCCAGACTTGATGGTCAATCAGTTACAACCTTAGATTGTTACAGGATACAGAAGATGGCAAAGCAGTGTTTCTGCCCTCGGGTATGCATAATTTTTCAACAGAGACGTGAAACAAGACGACATTTTATATGGTGCTAAATGATTTTGTGGCAGATGAGGAGAAAGCTCAGCAGGGGCTGGAAATATGATTTCCTAAGTAATAGCACTTTGAGTCTTAAGGGAAAGGCCAAATTTACAAGAGAGGGCAACTGAATCTGGACTTAATAAAAACAGCATGTAATGATAATGAATATTTTTTAATAGTTACTATGTGCCATGTACTGTGCTGTTTTAATTCTCATAATATTATTCCCATTTTGCAAATAAGAAAATTATGTTAGTTAAATGAGCTGTTAACAGAGACAAACACTAATATTTCAGTGATTTAACTCAGTAAAGTTTGATTCTTTGCTCACATAAAGTTAAAATCAGGAGTTCCTAGCTAGCAGTGGCCCTCCCAACAAGCAGTGATTGAGGAACCCAGAGCCCTTGCATTTATAGCTCTGACGTTTTCAGTGTGTAGCTGCTGAGGTCGAAGTGCTTGTCTGCATCACATCAGCAAAGGAGGAAGAACGGGGAAGGCTGTGCCCTGGAGGGTTGATGTGCTTGTCTACATGAAGGCAGCAAAGGAGAAAGAACAGGGATGATCATGTGCTGGAGGTTTGTAAGGACTAGGCCTGGAAATGGAAATGCGAACTTCCAGCCCACAGCTGGAACTCAGGCACTTGGCCACACCTGACTGCAGGGAGCTGGGAAATGGAGCCTAGCTACATGTTTAAGAAGAAGAACAAAGCGGTCTTGGCCACGGAATAGAGACCTACGGAAATTAAATAGCTTTCCTCAGATCTGCCACTCATTCGTAAATGTAAAGCTTGCATGTGAACACTAGCAGTGTTCGAGTGCTTCCAGTGCCCTCAAAGTAATAGCACTTACTGCTTCCTGTGTGCAGGGCACTTGGGGAAGTGATTTACACATATTTATAATTTCATTTGCACAACAACCCTTTGAGGTAAGTATAATTTTGTATATTTTACAGGTGAAAGGTGAAAGAAAACTGTGGCATAGAGAAGTTGAGTAACAGCATCACAGAGCTGAAGTCCCTTCATTAAATCTCTGAAGCTGAAGTCCCTTCAGCTCTGTGAAGCCAAGGCCTATGAACCTTGGCCATGTAGCAGCAGAGCCATGCCGTTAATTATTCACCACATGCTGCTGCCTAATGTGAGCTGCACTTATGCAAATCAGCCATGTCCCATGGTGCCCGGTTCAACTTAATAGTGCACATTCATACTTTATATTTTATCATGCGATATTTAAAACCCACTGCTTTTTAGAAACACAGTATTCCTTGATTTTCTGCCCTCTTTTCTCATTATTTTGCTTTGTTATTATCTTTCATTTCTCCATGTATCCTAATTTTGCCCATTTTAATTTTTTCTATTCTGTATACTAATCAATTCAGACTTTATTATGTGCTTGTTATACATCAGGTCACTGCTTTTGTGGAATTTGATGTATAGTGGAGGAAGACAAGCAATGTGAATAGATAATTATATGTGCCTTGACAGAGGAAGTTGGAAGAAAAGTAGTACAGAGAAGTGATTAAATCTGTGTGAAGAAGAATGGGTAGTTAGGGACAGATTTTCCTTTTCCTTTTTCTTTTTTTTTCAGATTTTCTTTTTATTTATTTTCTTTTTAGTTTTTTAAGATTTTATTTATTCATGAGAGACACACAGAGAGAGGCAGAGGGAGAAGCAGACTCCTTGCAGGGAGCCCAATATGGGACTCAATCCCTGGACCCCAGGATCACGCCCTGAGCCAAAGGCAGACACTCAAGCACTGAGCCACCCAGGCATCCCCAGATTTTCTTTTTAAAATGACCATAAAGAAGAGTTTACCAAGGTCAAAGTGCGTGCATGTATAAAGAAGGCATAAGGTAATATGTTACGTTCAGAGCTACAGGCAAATCAGTATTGCTAATGCATAGAAAAGGCAAAAAGTAGCAGAAAATGACCCAGGTTCAGACTATGCTGACTTCGTAAGCAAAGAAGCTGGACTCTATTGTTAAGCAAATGATAGTATAATGAGATCTGAGTTGTAGATATTTTTGTCCTGTTGGCAGTAAAGAGGATGGCCTTTTAAAAGGTAATCAGATTTTTTTTGAATTTTTTATTTATTTATGATAGTCACACACAGAGAGAGAGAGAGAGAGAGAGAGAGGCAGAGACATAGGCAGAGGGAGAAGCAGGCTCCATGCATCGGGAGCCCGACGTGGGATTCGATCCCGGGTCTCGAGGATCGCGCCCTGGGCCAAAGGCAGGCACCAAACTGCTGCACCACCCAGGGATCCCCGGTAATCAGAATTTGAGGGAAGAATTACTTCTTTTGAAAAATGGATTGAGTGAAATATGTTGGGGACACTTCCGTGTTCAAAGACTAATAGAACCATGTGATTGAATAGTTGATTGTCTAAAGAGGAAGCATAGTGTAGTGATTAAAGACAGACCCAGAAGCTGGCTGGCCTCATATTCCCCACTAACTGGCTGTGTGATCGTAGCCAAGTTGCTTTACATCTTTTTGGGAACAACCAAAACAACAGTAATAACAGTACTTACCTTAAATGGTGGCTATGGGATTAAGTGGAGTATATGTAAGATACAATAATGCCTAGTGTAGGTTAAGCACTGTGTAAATGCCCACTTTTAAATGTGTGTGCCTTCTGGACCGAGACCTCAGAGCCTCCAGCTAATATTCTGGCTTCTGTTAACTGTGCCAGTGAAGGGCATCTCTACCATGTTCTCAAGATGTCTTCACACCTGTTGTGGCAGGTAGTGTTGATAGGGACAATCTGCCATTTGGACTCGCCTTCTACACCTAGTCTTTGTTTTCTTTATGCTTGGGAGCTGCTACTCACACTTTACCCAACTGGGCTCACTTGTTCCAAGGACGGATAGTGAACAGTTCCCTGAGCTTCTTTTCTTTCCTTGCTTCCAGCCTCTAAAAGATGTTGTGAGGATTTTCCTAGTAATTTTTATGTGGAAAAAGGTACTAACAAATTGACAGGAGTGTACATAAAGTACAGAATTTTGGACTGTGCTTTTTGACTATAGCCTTCTGTCTTCTACTTGGTAGTTAAAAAGAAAACAGTTTGATAGAATAGGAGATAAAGTAGCTATTGCAAGAGAGCTCTATGGAAAGTCAGTGGCCTGTGAGTAGAAGAGGGGTTAGAGCGTGTGGATAGCAATAGAACAAACATAAGAGGTGCCATTTGGAATGGTCATTCTATGTCATTAACCTACAAAAAACATTATGCAGAGAAGATAAGGAAATGGTGGGGATCTTTCAGGTCTCCATATGCAGACTCTTTTCAGCCTTTAGATGATAGAGGAAAGTCAAGGAGAATTACTACTTTGGATTTAATTCTGCTTATATGGGAAGTTGGTGCTAAAGTAGAAGCAATGGGAAAAAAAAATAGAGTACAAGTGATGGGACTTAGGAGAGACAATGACAGTCTCATCCTGTGGCTCAAAATAACCAAACGAAGGCATCCTGGGAAAAGTCAGATGTGTACTTGCATTAATTAGAGCACATCTATGGAAATCTGTTTCTAGATGCCACATTTTGACAAGACATGGGCAATCTGTACCATGTCCAGAGCAAGGCAACCAGAGTTATGACAACACAGAACTAATCATACAAGTTTCTGAATATTTAACTTAAAAATAGAAAGCTTCTAAGGGTGAAAGTGGGGTTAGTGCAAAGTCATGATTACAGTATTTGGATAACAGAGAACTGTCATGTGCAAAAGGGTTTAGGCTGATTTTGTGCAGTTGCACAGGTGTGCAAATTATGGGGAGATACTGTTCAATTTTAGAAAAGAATTTCTAACATTTACAGCTATCCATAATTATAATAGGCACTCCTATGACATATTCCTTTTCAGGAATTAGCGAATAGCTAGTTCATAGATTTACAGAAAAGATCTCCGTTTTGGATAGACGATTAAAGAATTTGGCTTAATCCACCAATCTGTGATTTAATGGTCCTAAACAAAAAGACCTATTTTGGTGTGAAGTATACTGATATGTTGATATCTTTTGTTCCCTCCGCAACATCTCCCAGTTTTGTCCAAAGAGGAGTTTGACCAAAGAAAAATGAAGGGTTAATTTTGAAATCTTTCACATTCCAATTTTGGGTTCAAGAATTATGAAAACATTAACAAATTCCATTTTTAAACATCTTTACTTAAAAAGGAAAAAAAATCAGCTTTGCATTCTGTTTTAAATAGAAATTATATACTTCCAATTCTAAAATAACACGTTTAAAAATGTTAGAAAATTCAGAAAAATCACCATTCTGAAATAACCTCTATTGACTTTTTGTTATGTTTTTGTAGCCTTCCCCACCCCTTGTGCCCACGCACATAGGTTTTCACAAACTTAGTATTTTGTATGTACATAATCATACACATTGAAAACTTTTCATGCCATTAAATAATCTGCTAATATGTGGCTATACACATGTGGGAAATGTGGTAATTTACTTATTCCTCTATATTGGTCACATAGGTTGTTCCTATTTTGGCTGCTAAAAATTCACTTTGGTGATCATCTTTGTACAAGCATTTTTTTGGTCTTGATCATTCCCTTAAATTAGAATAGAAATTTACACCAAAAGGGTTGGCTCTTTTGTATCATCTTGATAAATATTACTAAATTATAGAAATCTTCCAAATATTTCAGTGTGTGTCTCAAGGCATCTTCTCTAACACTCAGTATTCATTTTTGTCCATTTTATAGATGAAAATCTCTTACCTTTTTGTTTGAGTATTAACGAGTTAGAACATAACTTTCGGTTGCATTAATTCTTTGCCTATTTTTCTAGTGCAGAATTGGTTGATATTTTCTGAATAGATCTGTTAGAAAAGTTTTATCTGAAACCTTTGCTCAGTGGAATCCCATCTGAATAAAAATGAGGTGTCCTGCTAATCAGTACAAATATTTATATATATAATTCCACTACTTTAAAAATAATCTAGATTATGTATTGCTGTGATTTTGTTGCTGACTGACTGACATACAGATTTGTGAAACATTCCATTTTTGTGAGTCTTTGGGGCTCCCTGCCTCACCTTGTGTGGGTCTTGTTCACATACCGCCTCTTCATTGAGGCCCCCCCTGATTGTGCTACTCGCAATTGTATCTGCTCCCACCTGTGGCCTCACACCACATCCTGCACCCCCAGTCTCCTTTCTCCCTTTCACTTTCTTCACTGCAGTTACCACTTTCTAAAAACTATGCAATGGATTCATTTACTTGCCATGACTCTTTGTCTTTCCTTACTAAATATTTTAAAATGCAAGCCTCACAAGGGTAGAAATTATCACTGTCATTTTGTTCATTGCTGTATCCAAAGCCCCCAGAACAGTACGTGGCATATAGCAGGCATTTGCTAAATCTTTGTTGAATGAATGAATAAATATTAAAATTACTAAATTAAAAGATCCTTGTCCTGATAAATGAGAATACTTTTAATGTATTTTATATTTATTAATTTAAAAATATATAAAGTGAATATATCATTTTGTTTCATTTCTACAGCTGATTTTTCATACATTGCAACTGTTAGCATTCACTGTTCTTGCCATTTTAATTATGAGGCTGAAGTTGTTTTTAACACCCCACATGTGTGTTATGGCTTCCTTGATATGTTCTCGACGGGTAAGGTATTCATTCTTGTGTCACTACACTGTGGTTACTATAGCAACAGCACCGTAGTTACCATGGCTTTGCTGAGTAATGCAAAACAAAACACTTGGTTTAAATGATTTAAAAGGTTATTTCATGATTAACTATGAATAAGAAAAGCAATTTCAAGTAGCTTTGAAAATTATCCTTAGATTTCAACCGATAAGTGACAAATGAGGAGGCACACTTGCCCCTGGGTTAGTAGTTTAGCCGCAAGCACAGGTGTTTGGAGTTCAAGTCTGTGCAAGAGTTTCATGGCCCATTAAAATGATCATGAAATGTTCTTCTTTAATACTGGAGTAGATGCAGAATAATTGCTCTAGTATTATCCTGTTTGGCTCAGAGAACCAGGGCAAGTTGTCAGTTCTGGGGTTCTCTTACTATTATATACAAAAGAGCTAGACAAAGAAGCTAGAATTTTGGGATCAGTGTACTTCTATAAACATCTTACTTAGTTTTCATGATAAGAGTCCTGTGTTAGGATATCATAATGCTTTTTTTCTGAGAAGATTATATGTGTTACTGCTAGTGAGGTTTCATAGTTATTTTAAATGTCCACAAAGACCAGATATTACAGGAATCAGTTCTAGGATGTTTCAAAATTTTGTGATTTACTAATCTTAATCCTTGGTAGTAAATCAGTACTAGAAGAATGAAGGGTGTTTCCTCATTTATTCTTTTGAGGAGAAAGAAGGTTCCATTGTTACTGGACCCTGTAATTCCAAAATATGTACCATTTTTAAACAATAGATGACCATAGTTTGGTATATTACTAGTGCATTAGGTAGTATCAAATGATAATCCATCTTGGTTCAAGTAGCAAGGTGAGAGTTTATTATTGGCCCTATAGCACTCTTCATATAAGAATTAAAAATAAATGGTTTCTTTCATTTCAGCTCTTTGGCTGGCTTTTTTGCAGAGTTCGCTTTGAGAATGTTATCTTTGGCATTCTAGCAGTAATGTCCATACAAGGTTGTACAAACCTCCATAATCAATGGAGCATAATAGGAGAATTTAATAATTTGCCTCAGGAAGAACTGATACAATGGATCAAATACAATACCAGACCAGGTACGTAGCTCTTATTATTATCTTATTATCTTGTATTATTATTTTATTATCTTATTATCGTATAATCTTGTAGTTACATATACACATGTAAAAATACACATACACACTGTCACTTATACACTCACAGATTTTGAGCATGCTAATGGCAGTGTCCACCAAGTCAGACCTTCTCAAAAAACAATTTTGTGCCTTTTTAAAAATGCCTCCTAGATAACTGTCAAGAATTTTAATTAACATAAGGAATTAATGATTATTCATAGTTATGTGCTGAGACCATGTTAAGTCTGAGACCATGGTTGTACGTTAACCCTAACAATGACAAACACATCTTCAGTGGCAAAATTTCATGCCTTGTGAACAGACTGTAGGAGAAGGTACTTTTGACTGTGGGGAGGTCAACAACACCCCTTCCATCATTTCAGTCAGTGCTGCCTACCTCACCCAAATCTGCAAAACCATTTGCACACAGAAAAGTTAAAATCTCAGATATTCCGTTTTCTTCACTAACTCATTTCAAAGAGATGAGTATAAATCCTACCTGTAAATACCCCAAAATCCCATTTTTATCTTCCTGTCTTTATCCAAAATTAACTCAGGCAGAGATATTTATTTCATTTTGAAAAACCTTCGAGAGAATAAATATATTCTACAGTATTCTTTACAAGCAATCTGTGATCTTGTCCAAGACCATTTCTGAAATTTAGGAATTTTTGGTGGCACTAGTTCTTCACTGTGGTGTATTTACATTTATCCTGTGACCCCTTGGGGCCACTTCCTCTTACCACATATCTGATGGTCTCTGTTTTATTAATTAGCCTTGTTAAAGCAAGCTTTCATAAGCTTCAGCTCAGACGCTGGGTTTTCAGAGGTGACAGGACCATCATTCACAGCTGCCAGACCAGTTTCATCAGGATTTCAAAATTAATCCTCTAGTGAATTTTTTCCCTAGAGGAGTATGAGATGCAAGATGTCCCTTTACTCTCCCTTACCCCCTCCCAGGTAGTTATTTTTCCCAAGCTTTATGAGGTACCTACTTTTAAATCTCCTGTGTCTGACTTTGTTCCAGTGTTTATCTTAGGTTCCTAGCAGAGAGGGCCTACATTTGACAATTTATCCTAAGGTAACTCCCACAAACTCCTACCCTAGTTTTAGCCACCTCTTCTTTGATCTTCTTATAAATCTTTTCATTCTTCAATTATGAGTTCTCTCAAGGTTTACCACATGTTTATTAAAGGCAGCCTGTTGGGGACGCCTGGGTAGCTCAGTCGGTTAAGCAGCAGCGTTTGGCTCAGGTCGGGATCCTAGGGTCCTGAGATGAGCTGCTGCTCTCTCTCTCTCTCTCCCTCTCTCTGCCACTCCCCCTGCTTGTGAGCTCTTGCTCTCTCTCTTTGTCCAATAAATAAATAAAATCTTTTAAAAAAATTTTAAAAACTAAAAGCATCATGAAGTTCTGTAGTATGGGTGAGACTAATGCTTGCGCTCAGGTCCTTGCAGGGCTGTATAGTTCGTGTACTGCTTACAGTTGCTGTATGGAGAGGACAAGTGGGAACTGCAATCCAGCCCACGGTCTGCTTACCAAGTCAGGTATTAGTGAAGCTCTGTCCAGTCAGAAGGGGTACTTTTATCTAATACATTTAGTAGAGTATATGTGGAAACTTCAGCAAACATATAAGAAAATAGAATATTCTTTCCCCATCTTGTTCATATTTATCTCGTCACCAAGAGTGAAGACTCTGCAGGGTATTTCTATCACCTAGTTTTTTCCTGATAACTGTGGTGCTGGGCTTTGGGTCCCTCCAGCCCACATTTTCTCAGCCTTGGCACTATTGACATTAGGGCCTGGCCCGTGCACTGCAGAATATCTAGCAGCATCCCCTCCCTCTACCCACAAGTTGCCAACAGCACCTCTCTCCCCCACAGTGTGCCAGCCAAAAATGTCTCCAGAAATTGACCACATAGATCCCTGGAAAACAAAATCATGTCTGCTTGAGAACCACTGCTCTAGCTTAAGAGCTTTCCATCGTTAATTATTCAATCTTATAATAATAAATATATACCTCTACACTGATTGACTTATGTATCTTCAAATTTAAGTCATACGTAGAGATTATTCCACCCAAAGTTATGTTTAGGATACTTAGTTATATTGTAAGCAAACATTCAGTTATTTACAGTAGATCTGAATCACATGCCTTGTTCCTATTAGTGATTTTATTATCCTGATTAAAAATGATAATAACCTTTCAAAATTATATAATAATTTATTCTACAGAAGTGCCAGGAGGTAAGTGAGCATTTGGTCTTTGTCTTCCAAGGAACTATAGTTCACAAGTTCACAATTTCATTTTAAAAGATGTAGCATGAGACCTACCCCTTGTAACAGTCTCTCAGTTCTTGACATTTTAAATTATGGGAACAAGATAGAAAGTTTTACAGTTCTTTCTGGCCCTGCATGTTTTTGTAGTATTGCCTCTTACACTGAGTTTGAATGTGGCAAGAAGTTGTAGTGAAGTGGCTGAGAGTGGGCTCTGGTGCACATGGGTGGGTAGTCTTGGGCAAGTTACTTACCTTTGTTGCCTCTTAGTTTATTTTACAGAATAATGTAGAACCTACTTCATAAAGTTGTGTAAATTAAATTGCCTAGTCCTAATAAACTTATTTAGCACAGTTCCTGGCACAGAGATAGAAAAGCTGGCTGTTATTGTAATAGACAATATTGACCAAAGAAAAAGAATAATGCCGATGGTTATTAAATGTATTTCATCTTTCTTAATTCTAGTTCAAATACTATAGATAAGTAGTAACCTTTGGTTTTCTTTAAAATATGTCATTAAGGAATATATTCTTGTTTTTCAGATGCTGTTTTTGCAGGTGCCATGCCTACGATGGCCAGTGTCAAGCTGTCTACCCTTCACCCCATTGTGAATCACCCACATTACGAGGATGCAGACTTGAGGTTGGCAACTCATTGTTTCAACCAAACATGCTTACAACTGACATTGGTTCTTAGGAACAGGGAAAATTTTACACATACACACACACATGCTCTCATCTTCATATTCATGCTGGAAGTTTAAAAATGTATAGTAACTACCCAGAAATTATCATATGTACCTGTTCACTCTAAAGAAAGCTTAATAAACCTCTGAAAAATGAAAAAAGCTAATTTTTCTCGATGTGAAAATGTCACATTTTTATGATTAACCTGTATGTGTGTCAATATGCTCCAATAGAACTGCTAAGTATTAGTAAGAGGAGATAGAATCTGATCCATGGCCATAGTTTGCCAGCCTGTGTTCTGAACCTCTGCCTGATTTAAGAAACCATTCTCCGTCTTCCTGGTGACCTATAACTAGCCTTTTTTAACAGATATAAAAAGTGCATGAAATTTATGTTACATGATTTTATGAAAATTTAGGGTGTTTTTGCTAGCTAGTTATGAGTCATTGAGGTGTGAAAGGTTTGTTTTCCTTAAATAATTGACTTTAAAAGTTATTTTAATAATTTTAGTAATTGCCAGGGTAATCTTTTCCTGCTAATGCATCTTTGGCCTATTATTAGAGATAAAAATTTAAGTTATTTAAAGTTTTATGTCTGGTTGTGGACATTGCACATCCCCTATGCTTGAAATTTTAAGAAATGTCCAGTACATAGATGGTAATTGTTCAAGATTTCATAAAAATTCCTCTATTGAGGACCAAATCGTATTTTGGTGAATAATCTTGTTTATCAGGCTTCCTAACTACTACGCTTGATGCCCTCTATCTGAAAGTATGACTTGGCTAAATTTCAACTTCAATTCATATGCTTTTTGGATAATTTCAGTAGGTGAAGTTATCTAGTAAAGTCTGTTTTTTTCTCTCTTCACCTCTATCTGAATGTGTTCCATGAGCAGATTATTTTATGCGTTACGAAAAGCAAAGCTATATTCTAAACTATTATCCTGCTACCCATGTCTGGACTCTAAGCCAGTTTGTCTGTCTGTTCCAGTAAACACTAACAAGCAGTACATACAAAATTCAAACCACTGTAAGTTTTAGCACATGTAAAACGTAAGTAGGAATGTGAAAACTACTTATGTATCCAAAATAACCTATGCTATTCCCAAAGCAATTCATGCTGCCTGAGGTCATATATATTAATGTTCCATCCAGTGAGTGTTGAGATTTTAATTTGCCAGCAAAATTTCTTTAGTCCATTCTATTATAACTTATTAAAAAATTTTTTTAACTTGTGTTTTGAACATAAAGGGCCCGGACAAAAATAGTTTATTCCACATATAGTCGAAAATCTGCAAAAGAAGTGAGAGATAAATTGTTGGAGTTACATGTGAATTATTATGTTTTAGAAGAGGCGTGGTGTGTTGTGAGAACTAAGTGAGTATGAGCCCTATACTATATGATATGGAATATCTTTAAGAAACAAATGTTTTTCTTTATTTCAGTAGTTGTGATTTTTTAAGAATGTTTATTCTAAGTAAATTCCATTAAAATATCCTGGCATTTTATTTAAAATTATTTCATGTAGGAAAGTAAGTATCATTTAAGTAGAATCTAAGTTTAAGAAACTATAGTATATTTTAGCTTACAGATTTTTTTCATTTTAATTTAACATCTGAAATGTAGCTTTCCTTTATAATTTTTCAAATTTTTATGATAATTTATATTAGATGCATGAAATACAGATTTGAATTTACAGCAGTGTGAGACATTAGCATTCTTTTACTACAGCTGGAGAACACTGAATTTATAAGACTTATGAGAAAAGTTTCAGATAACTCAAGAAGACATAGTAAGAAAAACATTCCTAAGTATAATTTTTAATTTCTGAATTTTGGATTTCTAAAAATCACAAAATCCTTAAATGTTTAATGGATATCTTGAGGCCTTTTTTCTTAGACTCTTTAACTTAAAAGGTTCTTATTTGTATTAAATATAACATTTAGAATTTTCATTTCTCCTATGGATAATTAGGAATTAGGCCATAAAATATTTTTGAAAAGTGAGGTTCATAAGTTTTACTAACTAATTTTAACACCTAACTTTAATATCTAATATAGTCAGGAAAAAATGGCACCTTGTAAGGGAAGAAAAAGAAACATCATAATATTAGTGTATGTATACATCATATTAATTTAAAATTTAATAAAGTAGACTTCAAAATAAGGCATATTTCCACAAATAAAGATGGACATTTTATAATGACAGAAGGACTAATTCATCAAAAAATATAACAGTTCTAAAATGTGTGTATCTAAACAGAGCTTCAAAGTGCACAAAGTAAAATGTGCAGAATAGGAAGAAAAAATAAGCAAATTTTCAATGATAGTTGGAAATGTTAACTTCCTTTCTCTACTGAGAAGATTAGGTTTAAAAATTGTAAGAATTAGAAGATAGAAACAACAAACAGTATAAGATAATGTGACCTAATTACTCTTATAGAACAGTTCAGGGAAAATACATTTTGCAGAGCACACATTCTTTTAAAGGAACATGGAATTTTCATCAAGGGAAACATATGCTGGGCCATAAAAAATGGCTTCAGTATATATATTTTTAAAGATTTTATCTATTTATTCATGAGAGACACAGAGAGAGAGAGACAGAGGCAGAGACACAGGCAGAGGGAGAAGCAGACTCCATGCAGAGAGCCTGACGTGGGACTCTATCCTGGGTCTCCAGGATCACACCCTGGGCCGAAGGCAGCGCTGAGCCACCAGGGCTGCCTTTTTTTTTTTTTTAAAGATTTTTGGCTTCAGTATATTTAAAAGATTTGAAATCATACAGAATTAAATTAGAAATTAATAATTAGAAATCTACTAAATATAGATATCTAATAAACCCATACATATTTAGAAATTAGGCAGTAAACTTATAGATAACTATGGATCAAATAAAACCCCACAAAGTAAATTGAAAATATTTTTTTTACTTGAATGCAAAGAGAGGTGTTTTCAAGAGGTGTTGCTGATCTAACTGAATATCTCTGTAGAAGAAAAAGTGAACCATGATCCATACCACCATAAACAAAAATTTAACTTGACATGGATTACCGAACTAAATGTAAAAGCTAAAATTAAAAGATTTCTTGAAACACAGAGCACTAACAGTTAAAAAAAAACTAAATCATACACATCAAAATTGAAATTTTTTAAAAAATATTTTATTTATTTATTCATGAGACACACAGAGAGAGGCAGAGGCAGAGACACAGGCAGAGGGAGAAGCAAGCTCCATGCAGGGAGCCCAATATGGGACTTGATCCCAGGACTCCAGAATTATGCCCTGAGCCAAAGGTTGATGCTCAACCGCTGAGCCACCCAGGCCCCCCTCCTCAAAAGATGTTAAGAAAATGAAAAGGGAATCCACAGACTTGGAGAAAATATTTGTAAAGTGCATATCTGATAAAGGAGATATATATTTTTATATGAAGTTTTAGAAATTAATAATAAATTGATGATACAGTTGAAAATGGACAAAACTTGGACAGACATAATTCATGAAAGGAAATATGTGTTGACTAGTGAATACATGAAAAGCTGCTCAATATTGTCAGTGTTCAGGGATATGCAAATTAAAACCACAGTGGGATACTATAATACATACTTTAGAACAGATAAAATCTTAAAAACTAAAATACCAAATATTGGCAAGGATGCAGATTAACTAGAAATCTCTTACATTAGGAATCCCTGGGTGGCTCAACAGTTTAGCGCCTGCCTTCGGCCCAGGGAGTGATCCTGGAGTCCTAGGATTGCATCCCACATCGGGCTCTCTGCATGGAGTCTGCTTCTCCCTCTGCCTGTGTGTGTGTGTGTGTGTGTGTGTGTGTGTCTCTCTCTGTGTCTCTTATGAATAAATGAATAAAATATTAAAAAAAGAAATCTCTTACATTGCTAATGAGAGTAAATGATGCAGCCACGTTGGAGAAGTATTTGGAGTCTTTGCATAAAAATTTAAGCATATATTTGCCCTGTTGCACTTCTACTCCTTGAAATTTAAATAAGAGATATGAAAATATCTGCCCATAGAGGATGTTACAGCCACCTTATTCATAATATCTAACTGGAAACAACCCAAATATCAGGAGAAAAATGAATAAACAATTTATAGTGTATTCATACACTGGAATGCTACTCAGCAATAAAAAGGAATAAACTGATATGTGAAAAAAAGAATGAATTTCAAAAACATGCTGAATGAAAGAAGCCAAACACAGAAGAGTACATACTATGTGATTCCATCCTATGAAGTTCAAAATATGCAAAACTAGTGGAAATAGAAATCAGAATAGTGGTTGGCTTTGGTGGAGCAGGGGATAAAGGTGGTGGTGGGAAGATATTCTGAAAAGGGATTCAAGAACTTTTTTCTTTTCTTAGAATAATGACAGTGTTCATGATCTTGATTGACATGTTTTTTATATGGGTGTATGCATTTTTCAAAACTCATGGAACTGTACACTAAGATCTGTGTGTTTTTACTTCTATAATTGTACTCTAAATATTTATGCAAAGAAGTCTTCTAAAATCCCAAGACTCAGACAAACATTCTACAACTATCCCTAATAGCCTTTTGAGACACCAGGAATAAATTCTAAAGAAGGGATAGCAAATTTTCTCTTAAGGCAATTCTTTTTACAAAATTGGCTGCTTCTACTTTTCTTCACAACTCTGTTCTATTAAATATTACATACTCCTTACCTAAAGGCCTAAGGCTATGTGACATTTAAAGAAAATAGTGAAATGTGATAATTGGATTTTATAGTTTGGACAAACTGGATTTAGGAGTTACTGGTCTATCTAATGTCCAAGGACATTGAACATAGGACCCATAAGAAACCAGTTTTGAAGAGAGTTCAGTTAATATTATCAAGAGGTTGGTTTACTGCTCCCAGAGATTACAGTTATAAGAACTGGGTGAAAACACAAGCACTCTTTACTTTGCATGGTACTATATTAGCTGAAACTTAAGCATGTCAAAATTATGTTCTTGCTTTGCATGGTTCCATGGATCTCAGTGTCATATTGAGACTCTTGTGTATTGGAACCATGTCTTTTTTTTTTTGGATTGTATTTATTTATTCATGAGCAACACACAGAGAGAAGCAGAGATATAGGCAGAAGGAGAAACAGGCTCCCTCTGGGGACCCCAATGCAAAACTCAATCCCAGGACCCAAGGATCACACCCTGAGCCAAAAGCTCAATCAGTGAGCTACCCAGGCATCCCTAGAACCATGTCTTAAGAGCTACCAAGGCACTACTTAAAGCAAGGATATAATTCCAATATGCATATACTTCAATTAACAGGATGCATCCAAAGTTAGGTTTAATTATAGTAAATACAGTTATTTGAAGTCTCTGGGAAGTGAAAGAGAAACAGAAACTTAAGAAATTTGTACTTGAAGGACGTCTCTGAATTTGTGAACTTCTTGCCTGCGAGCATTTCCTAAATCACCCTCTTCCAGATCCTACTAGAGCAGAAAATCACAGCCTACTGATTTTAGGGGACAGATGGTGGCAGATGAGCTGTGAGTAGCAAGGCAGCTGGATATTTGAAGGGGACATTTTAGAAGCAAGAGCACTACAGAAAGACCAAAATCGAAAATCTGAATATAAATTCTACCTAAAACCTATTCTACACATGCCTCTGAGAAACCCCTGGGAACTTAGGAAAAGGGCAGATGAAAACTAGAGCCAAAATGTATATCCTTTTATCTATTTTATTTTATTTTTATTTTTTGAGATTTTATCTGTCTCTTTTAGAGTCAGCAGGGGAAGGGGCAGAGGGTGGAAGGTGAGGGAGAGAATCTCAAACAGATTCTGTGCTCAGTGTAGAGCCCGACATAGGGTTCAATCTCATGACCCTTGAGATCATGACCTAAGGGAAACCAGGAGTTGGGTGCTTAATGAACTGAGCCACCCAGGTGCCCCAAGATGGCTACCCTTAAAAGAGAACTCCTGGTGAGATTTGCAAATTCCCTGTTCTTTTGACCACGTACGTTTCCCAACTTGCAACCCTAGGTGTGTACCCTAGGAAGCAGGAAGCAGAAAGCAAAGTCATTACTGTTTCAAGATGTTAGGGCAGAAATAAGAGGTAACAAAGCAACTCCACATTCTGGGGAGAACCCCCCAAAGCAAGGGAAATACGGAGAAGTTTTCCATAGGTTTCCAAATATGAATATAACTCTGCCCAAATCCCCGGCTGATAAAAACACAAAGAAAACCCCAGGGATAGAAGGAAGAAATAGCTGGAATCTAAAAAAACTGAGCAGAGATAGTTGCTGCACAAGACAGGACATCTGGGGGAGTTAATTGCTTACCAGAACAGAAAATAACAATCATCAGAAGAACAAAACAGACTCCAGACTCACTGCCCCCTATTTTCTCCAGTGTTCAATTTCCAACAAAAAATTATCAGACCAATTAAAAAAAGGGGGACAGCCTGACCAAAACTCAGGAAAAAAGTCAGTAGAAACTGATTCAAATAGATTGAGATGTTGGACTGAGCAGTGGATGACTGCAAAGCTGTTGTTATTATTATATTCAAGGAATTAAGAATGTTCAAAGAATTAAAGGAAGACATCAATAAAAGACAAAAAATGATTCTCAACAATGAGACAAAAGCCCCAGAAAAAGGAAATTCTAGAACTGAAAAGCATACTAAGACTTTGAGAGAAAAAATGATGGAGAGAAAGAGAGAGAGAGTGAGAGAGCACAAGCAGGGGGAGGAGTAGAGGAAGAAAGAGAAGCAGACTTCCAGCTGAGCAGGGAGCCTGATGCAGGGCTGGATCCTGGCACTCTGGGATCATGACCTGAGCCTAAGGCAGATGCTTAACTGACTGAGCCACCCAGGTATCCCTAGAACTGAAAAGTATAATAAATGAATGAAAATTCTTTAAAAGCTCTCAATAATAGGTTTGATATGACAACAGGGGAAAAAAAAATCAAAGACCGGAAGATAAATCATGAAAAAGTAGCCAATCCAAAGAACAGGGATCAAAAAGATTGAAGAAAAAGTAGCAAAAGCCATAAAGACCTGTGTATTATTAAGTAGTTGAGCACATGGGTAATATATAGTATCAGAAAAAAATGAAAGAAAAGAAAAATAGCAGAAAAAAATACCTGAAGAAATGTTGGCCAAAAGTTTCTTCTACACTGAAAGCCATTAACTTAAAGATTCAATTACACTTAACAAATACAGCTAGGATAAACCCAAGGAAATCCACACCAAGGCACATCATAGTCAAACTGGTGAAAAACAAAGAGAAAAGAGAAAATCTTGAAAGAAACAAAAGAAAAATGATTTCATAAATGTCTGGCTTTTCATAAACAATAGAAGTCAACTGACATTGAAATGATCATTCAAAATTCATATATATATAGGATATACTAAAATGCACTGGAAATGGTAAAAATGTGGGTAATATTAATCACTCTGTATGAATATATATATTTTTATATATGAAAATCTTTTAAAAACTTATGAGTAATTAAAGCAAAGATAATACCATTGTATTTTTGAGTTTACAATGTAATATATATATTATATATATATATATGACAGCAATAGCACAAGCAAGGGAGTAAACAAAAATAAAATGTATCATCGTCTGTAAGTAATCCAGTTAATGTTAAGTAAATTGTGATACATTGAAGATGCCTGTTTTAATATCTAGAGCAACCACAAAAAAGACAAAAAAATTGCATAAGCCAATGAATAAATTGGATGATGCAGTAAAACTTTCTGCTTGACATAAAAGAAGTCAAGAAAGAGAACTAGAAAATCAAGAAAGAGATGACACAAATAGAAAAAAAAAAAAAGCCTAAGTCAAACAGTGTCAGTATTTACAAATGTGAATGAGGACTAAACACTCCAGTCAAAAGGCAGAGATTGGTAGACCAAATACAAAAGCAAAATCCAACTATGTGCTGCCTGTAAGACATGCATTTTAAATAGAAATACATATATAGATTGAAGGAAAAGGGATGGAATTGTTATCGTGTGAGTAATATATAAAAACTGCAGTGACTAGAAATATCTAGAATATTCTAGAAAAGGCAAAACGTTGTTGCAGAAAGAAGAGCAGTGTTTGCCTGGGCTAAGCTTGCGCGAGGGGACTGACTGCCAGAAGGGCTCAGGGGAGCTTGTTTCAGTGCTGGGAATTTTCTGTGTTAGATTGTGGTGGTGCTTACACACCTATGCACGTTTGCCCATATTTATCAAACTTATAAAATGGGTGTATTTTATTGTATGTAAATGATTCCTCAATATACCTGTTAAAAAATAATAGCCAATTTTCCCTGACTTCCTCCCTTTACTGACTCTCATGCAAGGTTATTCCTCAGTGAGAACTAGTATCCCAGTCAGTCCAATCATAGAGCCACCCACACACAATAGGAAAGGGTTGAGGAGAACAAATCTGGCAAAAGTGCTTTCCTTCCTTGCCTTGGACTGTATGTTTCCATGCTAATCTAAGTCAGGTGAAGCTCAGAAATAGGAAATTCATCAAGAATCAGATTAGCTTTCCTTTGTCTTCTGCTACTCATGGGCCTTAGCCTTGTGTTTGGATGGTGATACCACCTAGAAAATATATTTATTTACATTTCATTCTGAAAATAAATTTTTAAGTAATGTATTTCAAAATGGATATTGGACTTTTACTGTTAAGGTTAATAATACATGGGTTATTTGATTAAGTAGAACATGAAAATGCAACATCCTTAATTTCATTTTTATCTCTAAATGGTGAACTTACAAATTTTTGAAATGTAATAAAATATCAAACAAATTAGTCTCTAAAAATCTTGGAGCTACTTTATTATTTATTTATTTATTTATTTATTTATTTATTTATTTATTTATAGTTTATATACTCTCCCTGTATATTTTGATTTTTAATATGGATATGTATGTGCCCCTCCCCTTTTTTAGGCCTGGTTGCAGTATGCTGGAAATTTGGGATGTAGAAGACCCTTCCAATACAGCGAACCCTCCCTTATGTAGCATCTTGCTCAAAGATGCGAGGCCTTACTTCACCACAGTATTTCAGAATAGTATGTACAGAGTATTAAAGGTTAACTGAGAACGAGACAACCCATCAGACTCTGATGCAAACAAGTGTGTAGAAAACACTTTGCCTTATTTATGTCAATAAAATCACAAACTTTAATAAGGGACCTTTAAAAAGAAGATAATAAAAATGATTTGAAGTTATTCTGATTACTAAAAGGTAAATTATTTCATTGTTCTCCATTGAATGTGAGCCTCATTAGGCTTGTCATTTAAATCACTTAATACTGCATAAACAAATGTCCATCTTAAAGTTCTAAAGAAAAATATATGTAAAAGAACAATGAGATTTAATAAGTCGAAGGTATATGTAAGTCCTTTTGTATCCAACTAGGTGCTTCGAATTTTCTCTCCAGCGCAAACTCTTTAAACCACTTAGAATAGACTAATGCAGTTTCTGAAACGACACTTCCTTGAAATCCTTATACTAATCACAACTTCTTTACCTCTGTGAGGAAATTTGTGTATAACCATGTGTCTATTAAATTTGTTTTTGCTTTTATTAGCCCTCAGGAAAGAGCTTTAATATCTTTTAATATTTTTTATCATTTCAAGTTCAATATTTTTTAAAACAACTTATTTCGTAATGTTTTGAATCTCTTGAAATTTATTTACCCAACCAGATAAGTATTTCCTATTGATTAGTTCCCAACCGAAGTTCAACAGCTTATTAATCTATCTATATAATCCAGTGGGTTTTCTTTTAACATTCAGACAAAATAAAAATTGCTATGGTACATGACCAAATTTGGGGTTAAAACATAATCGGAAAAGAAGATCCAGCTAGATTTATCATATGAGATTTTAAGATTCTGTATCCTGAATGAAGCAAAGGCATTTTTCATCTTGACAGCCCTGTAGCTCATTGGACATAACCTTACTTCCTCATTACCGTCTCTCTGATCACCAGCTTTTGTAATAACATATTTCTAAATCCTCATTTATTTTTGGTTTTGGATGAGGAAGTTGATATTTTGTAAATCTCCTCCTCCAATATAAAACCTATACAACAATAATGCTTTAAAAGTGGGAAATAGTTATCTTGAAGATATTGACAATTACAGAGATAAACATTCTTCCTCTGCTTGACAGACAATAAATATGCCACATCTGTAGTATTTTTATATCTATCTACTTTAAATTCATCATCTCAGAGTTTTTGTAATTCCCTTATGTTCTTGGCCCTTTACATTTGGGATAATAAATTGACTTAATTCCATAGATTAGTTCATGTATAGTAGGTGGGAGATTATATTCAAGATAACCAATAAAATTATTTTTCAACTTTTATCATCATAAAATATTTTAATACAGGGTACAAAACATCTAAAAAAAGTGTGTCCTCATTTTATCAGTATTTTCAAATAATTTGTCTGGGCCTAGGTATGGGGCAAAGGAGGAAAGGAGACTTAACACCTAACATTCATAAAAATTAAAATACATCTTGGATAATGTTTTCATAGGAAATATTTCTTTAAAATATTGGTAGAATTTTTTAAAGAAGAGCTGTATTAGCTAATAAAATATTTCATAAAAGTATGCTTATGTGGATTTAGATGCAGGAAAACCAGTAAAATTATTTTCGACTTTTACAGTGGTAAAATATTTTAACACAGGATGCAAAGCAGCTGAGAAAGCATGCCACACTTTACTTATTTTAGCATTTTCAAATAATTTGTTTTGGTGTGTTTTTGGGCAAAGAAGGAAAAGAGACCTAAAACCTAACATTCATGAAATTAAAGTAACAGATTTTCTCTCTTTTTTTTTAAAGTAACACATTTTCGATGGTGTTGTTATAAAAAATATTTTTTAAAGAAGTTCATAGAATTCAACAACAACAAAAAGGGAAGAAGAGTGTTCACTAGTTAAATGTTCCATACAACTATAATGATGAGTGTGGATTGTGTTACTTCTATGTACCACATATATTTGAAAATTAAAGCCCTTGAAGATCTCTGTGTGCTTTCTATCTTTTCTCACCTTTTGCCGAGCATATGTTTTGACATTGAAATAATTCTGATACGAAGGTAGAAATCACCTGTTCCTGAATTTATTAATCATGTTTTCATTGGCAGTGATCTTAGCCATTTAAAAACAATTCTGCATCGTGTCACACAGGAGGCAGTGTACCATGATGGAAATAGTGTGGGCTTTGTAACTAGATGGGTCTAATTTTAAATCCTGGCACTTCTAATTACTGAGTGTATTACCTACCATCCATTCAAAAGATATTTATTGAGTACTTACTAATTGAGCATGACGCAGGACTCTATCCCAGGACTCTGGGACCATGACCTGCGCCAGAGGTAGATGCTTAACCAACTGAGCCACTCAGGTGCCCCTAATGTTAATTTTAGTAATAAAAATTATGTCTCATTTGATATGTGTCTATTATACAAGCAATACAAACTCATGGAATTTTTGTCTTGAAATAAAATTTGGAAGAAGGAAAAATATTCAACAAGCACAATTACTATCTGGTTTTCATCCAACTTTACTTGTAGCTATACATATTTTGCTCGCTTTCTTCTTTTAACATAATTTAAATTTTAACATAATTTAGGTTTTGTTCTTTACGTGTTAGATACGGAAATGTTTTATAGAGACTTGTTTAATGACTATATAATGTCTCATTGTATGTGTTGTGTATATGTGGAGAGGGATTATGTATGTAAACATGTATCTAAACCATTGTTAAGCTACTTACATTTTTACTACTGCATGTATATATATGTAGAACGGCCCTGCAATGAATATCTTAGTGTATTAAGATTTTTTTAATTTTCAAATTATTTCCTTAGGATAGATTCCATAAAGTTAAATTGCAGGAAAAAAAGAAAAAGTGGATACCCTTAAAGCCTACAGTGCAGTTTGCCTCAAATTACCTTTGCAAAAGGATTATATACACCACCAGAAGTCAATGTATGACAATGCTCATTTCACAACACTCTCATTAACATTGGTCAGACCTATTAAATTATTTCTTGCTAATTTGCAACACTCAGAGTTATACATCATTATTCTGATTTACATATATTCCATGGTTTCTCATGGCTTCTGAGGTTGGGTACCTATTGCTGCTTGTTAAATGGTTGCATTTCCTTTTGTGTATTGGTTCTTTACATTCATCCACTTTTATGCATGTCTAGCCCAGCACCGGGATTATCTGTGTTACAGATACTGATTTTTGGTGAGTGTCTTGTCATTAAGTGTTTAGTAATCTTGATGAAAATGCCATATGAGTTAGTATATTCTTTTTTTTTAAGATTTTATTTATTCATGAGAGACACACAGAGAGAGGCAGAGACCCAGGCAGAGGGAGAAGCAGGCTCCATGCAGGGAGCCCAACGTGGGACTCGATCCCAGGTCCCCAGGATCACGCCCTGGGCGGAAGGTGACGCTAAACCACTGAGCCACCCAGGCTGCCCCCAGTTAGTATATTCTTACTTACTATTCTGTAGGCTGGAGATTATGCCTCAGCTGTCTAAAATAGTTTATAATTTGTACCATATTCAGTACAGCATATTTAATATCAAATATGAAGTTTTAAGATCTCAGTGCCTCACTGGTATGAATAAAAATTCAGTGATTATAATTTCATGATCGGATACTGTCAACTTTGTAAGTTATGTTTATGTATGAGATTTCTTAAGCCATTATTATTCTAACCTGGGTTGATTTTTATAGGACATAGAAAGAAGTATCAGTAAATTTTCAGCAGTTTTGGCTTCATGTGAACTAGTGGAGTTTTACATCCAGTAAAAGTTCTCTATATTTTTAATATTTAGAAAGTATATTCTCTGTAGCTCTGTTCCTATGCTTTGATAAATCCATTGAGTCTCTTCAAAAGAGGTCAGGTTAGAGATAAGGAAGAAGAAAAATCTCTTTTTGAAAATTCTTTTTTAACCATAAAAAAAAAACAAAAGGAAAATTTGAAAAGAATAGGTAAGTATATAACTTCATGCATAAAAATAAAATTTAGAAGGGTCAAGAACTTACATGAGAAAGGTAGAACATGAAAACTTCTGGAAGAAAATAAAGAAATGCAAATTAAAACCACATGACAAAATGTACAAGTCTGATGATAATTGGTGAGAACAGGGAGCAACAAGAACTCTCGTGAAATTGTAGTAGGAGGATAAGTTGGTACAGCTGTCTTGGAAAATAATTTGTTATTTCTTAATTTTAAAAGTATGTAGTTTCTGTAACTAACAGTTTCACCCTAAAGAAATGTTTGTACAAACATGCAAGGGAAAACAATTACAAGACTATTTATGGAAACAGGGCGCCTGGGTGGCTCAGTTGATTAAGTGTCCAACTCTTAATTTCTGCTCAGGTCATGATCTCAGGGTCATGGGATCAAACCCCATATCACATAGGGGCTCCAAGCTCAGCAGGCAGTCTGCTTGTCCCACTTGTCCCTCTGCTCTTCCCCCCACTCGCATTTTTTCTCTCCCTCTCTCTCTCAAATTTTTTAAAACTTAAAGAGAATATTTATGGAAGCATTATTTGTACCTTGGGAGAAGAAAAACTGTAAACAGCCTGAAAGTCCACTAAGAGACCAAATAAAATGGAATATGGTACAGTAGGACTGAATCTCAAATACAATGTTAAGGATAAAAAAACAAGTCATCAAAGGTGGGGCATGTGTATAAATATATATATATATGCCACTTATAGCCTTAAAACAAAGAACGCAATATTGTTGGGAGGTAGACGTGTGACAAAACGATAAAAACACAGGCATAATTAATACAGAGCTGAGGCTGGTGATCTCTTCTAGGAGACAATGCAATCCAGGCAGGGACCCTGGGTGCTTCAATGTTCCTGTTCTGATTCTTAACTGGGTGTTAAGTATGTACGTGTTCATTTTATAATTCTATAAGATCTACATATACTTTATAATGTTTAATATATTGCGTGCCCTTCAAAGTAGGGATTTAATATCACATTTAATATCTGAGGTTCTTAAACCTCGGATTCTCTTTCAGTAAACCTAGTGTGCTTACACAA